GCGCCGACGCGCCCTCGGCGTCCCGCGCGCCCGCGCCCGCGCCCAGCGCCAGCAGCGCCCGCGTCGCGTCGGCGTGCCCGCCCAGCGCCGCCCAGTGCACGGCCGTGCGCCCGCCGGCGTCCTGCGCAAGGCGCTCGTAGGTTTGCGGCGTGGGGAATAGCACACACAGTATTGTAATGATGGACAATGAACATCTTTTAACTAAAAAACACTTAACTTTTATTTCTAGTGTTCTGCTTTTTCTCTGTCCCTATTCACGGAACTTTAGCGCTGCCGGTTATTTTTGAACAGTTGAAGATATTGAAATGCGGTTTTCATCGACGTTTGTGAGGAAATCACTTGAATACATTCATGTGTGGTGTCACTTAAATTTTACAAGATGTTGAATTTTTTTTTCGAATGAAGTTGTTCATTACATTATGAAACCAACATACCAGCTGCAAGAAAGTCGAGTCCTATACCTTAATAATAGGACTCAGTCCATGTTGCCTCATGTATTGCCGTGAAAAATGCCTTACAGTGTACTCAACCTACCAAAAATGGCAAGAGATACTAAAGTTCAGGGAGTTATCCTTGAGTATTAAGTAAATCTCTTGAGGTATTGACAATGATTAATAATTGATGTATTGTTCATCATATTTGAGCCAAGATTCCTTGGCAGTTTCATTCCATTTAAAAAAAGTTGTTTCTTGTTGTTTGTCAATACAGTTTTTCAATGGTTTTAATGGTACATAAGATTAGTTGAAGACATTTTTAGAATGGCTATCCATAAGATGAGTGGTTTGCACTGACTTAATTGATTAAATTTGTTTATTAATTAGAGGAGGAAGATGCATGCTTATGATAAGGAGCTGAAGGTTGTATTATTTACTGAGACTTCAATCTATCTTTGAGAAATCTTGATTTAATGCGTGAATAGAATGTATTTTTCCCTATGTTAAAAATGATTGGAACATGGGGAGGTATGCAGATTGTTGTGGAAATTGTTTCCTAATTTGACTACGGAAATGTTTTCTTCTAATTTTGGAATTTTGAGTTCTAGATAAATTTGTTCATTTGCAGTGGACGAAAGAGCGTTTTATAATATTTTTTAAAGAAATATATTTTGTATTAATTTAATTCTGTTAATATTTCTAGGAGCTGAACCTCACGCAATTAGGCATCCAAAAGTTGTGGTAGGAAGGATAATTGATTTAAATAGTATTGGTCGGCATTCGGTTGTTAATGTAGAGCGCTGATTTAGTATGGGGAATAATTTTGAAATTTTTACTCTACTTTTATTTGCTACCGCTTTGATGTGCGGTTTCCATGTTAACCTGTTTCATTCCTTCACACACTTTCCATGAGGATAGTTTTGAGCCGCGTGCTCTAGCAAGCACTTGTCCTACCGTGCAGTATAACATGAAAAAAGTGTTGATGTGTCGCTAATAGTAAACCACCCTGTTCCCCATACTAGAGACGGCAACACTCAAAATTATGTAGAGAAGGCTAAGAGGTGGATGAAGTAAGGTGTAAATAATTTAGATAATAATTTAGTGTTTTAAAAGGTTCATGTAAATATAAAACATGTCAACTTAGTGTACTATAATGAATGTCATAAAAAAGCTAAATATATAAGTACACATGTAAGCGGTAAGGAGTAATAGTGTAGGTAACCTTATTGACTCGTACTGAACTTGTCGTAGCCACTAAGTGGTAATGTAATCCAATTGTAAATAACACATAATTTACCCCCCTTTATTTATTTACTTCTTGTTCGTCCGCGTGGCCTTCCAAGGGCTTGAGTACAACAGAATTTTCAATCGTAGGAATGGGCATCCTTGGATTTTTGAGATTTACATCGCTTTACATCCATTTGTAAGGTATACTGCCACGGAATCTTGGCACAAACGTGACGAAATAAAAAAACAATTATTAATCATTGTCAATACCTCAAGAGATTCATTTAATACTCAGGGGTCAGTCCTTGACCTTTAGTATCTCTTGCCATTTTTGATAGGTTGAGTATATTGCAAGGCATTTTTCACGGCAATAAGATAGATTCCATTTGTTAGGTAAACTTGGTTTGGTTTAGTATTTATTTAGCATTTACATGCTTTAATATTAGGCTAACTGTTTGATGTGGTTTTATCCTGTAGTTACCGGGGGCCGAAACGTATGTTTTGGGAAACACACAAATTAAAAAAAGAAAAGGAAAACGAATAAAGCAATTACCGTGGCGTGGAGGTCGGCGCCGGCGTGGCGGACGAGCGCGGCGATGACGTGGGCGTGGCCCTCGCGCGCCGCCAGGTGCAGGTCGGTGGCGCCGTCGTTCGCTGCGCGGGAGCGCACGCCCCGCTCGCCCAGCCACGCCACGGCCTCCGCGCGGCCCGCCCGCGCCGCCAAGTGCAGCGCCGTGCGCCCGTCGGCCAGCGCGCGCCCCAGCTGCGCCCCCGCCGCCTCCAGCGCCTCCAGCACCTGCGCAGCAGCCGCCCGGCCCTCAAGAAGCACACATCGTTGCTTCTTCTTTATTGACAAAAGAGTTGGATTTTTATAAGTACAGAAACAAAGTGAATATTGTATGTTTAATGTTCATAAATGCTTAATTAAGAGAACGTACCCTGTAAGAACTTCCTTTGTGGGGTAAGAAGTTACATGTGTTACTGTAAGACATTACTGGTCATAATTGCAGTGCGTTTGTGTGCACATGCATTAGCCCACAGAGAAAGGCAGGTGTGCGATTCGTTATCGTTTCACACACGTGTCGGCCGGTTAATAGGGAAAATGCCGAAATAAAAAAAGAAAAAAAAAACAGCCGCGATTTTCCTAATTTTCTTCTCACAAAACCCTTTGCTTTGTGAAGGGAGAACCGCTACTGTCTTGTGGAGGAGGAAGTTCACATTCTGAGTAGAATGAAGTGCAACTGCCTTGCTGTTTCAGTAGCTAGAGAAAGAGCGTTAACGTAAGACAAACTACCTAAAACTCTAGCTTAAATCAGATTACGTAAATTACCAACACAGAAATTGAAATTTTGCATTCTCTGACCATGTTAGCGGTGCCTATGATTTTGTTAGATACCCCACAACAGAAAATAATAACAAGAAATAAATAAATAAAGAAAGATATATGAAAACGGATAAGCTCTTTGCCCAATTGCGAGTAAACATACTTTTCCCATTATTACTACTATCGGTTTGTGAACATTCTACTATTCATTGTTCGATTACCGATTTAATTTTGCATTGAAGAAACATACATACAGTAGAGTCGCGATTATCGGAGGAACGTGAGACTGATGGTAACTCGGATTTCAAAAACCTCGGATTACAGGAAAAAAAGGAAAATACATACTAGAATTTTCATCTTTAATGTATAATGAAGTCATATTTAATGTGTAGATACTATTAAAATTACTGATACATTACTACATATGGGCATGAGCGCGAAACGCTCACAACAATGGGGCAGACAGATTGACTGCACTGACCGCCACACTTGTGACATTCGATACAATGTTGCCAACCTTTGAAGACCACCTCTTGATCATCGCCACTTCTGTGCTTGTTAGGTGACTTGGTACACATCAGACCATCTCGGATTGCACGGAATCTCGGATTAGCGAGGCTCGGATGACCCCGACTCTACTGTACTTTGTTCACCCGCCATTCATTCAGCACTCCATTCTAGTGTTGCGACGTCGATATCAAACCATCGATATTTCCAAACACGTGTGACGTAGTGAAATAAGAAATAAATTTCAATAACAAAAGAAAAATAATATATTAAATATTATGTACAAGTTACAATGAATTGCTAATATTAAAACACTCCGGCAACCTTTTCCTTTCAGAACACTGCTTTACCGTAGAAAATACAAGCCACGCGTGATGCGCGCTATCGGACCTCGGTCCCGTGACAATTACCGTCACATGGCCTGACGCCAAAATTTAACCCGGTCGTGGCGACCGTGTGCCTACAGCACGTGAGATTGTCTGGCCCTTACTCTCCGGACATACTCGCCTCTGGTTTAGTAACCTCTAACATTAAATTCGTGCGCAACAACTTTAATTTGACAGTGGCCAAGTATATTAATTTGTAATGAAAATTTAACCAAAAACAACGTCAAAAAACGCTCTCCATATGCAAAATACGAAGTACATATCAGAGCACCATGACCATCTCGAATGAGGGATAGTCTGCTAGATGAAGGTAGTACAAACCGCGTTCGTTGGTTCGACCACATAAAACGATTTCATCCGTTATTATTTCATATTTTAACTTTTACACGATTGTGGTTACGGGGATTTTTCATCCACAATCCAATATCGGAAATGAAAAAAAAAAAAACGATCACAAAACTTTGATGTTCAGAAAACATCGACTTCAACACATCGATATTTTTATAGAAACATGGATGTATTCAAAAGATAAAAACATCGATATATGGGAATATCCATGTGGCATCGCCACTGCTCACGCACCGGGAGGTGTCCTTGGAGCGCTGCGAGGCAGGCGGGCGTGGCGCCCTGGTGGTCGTCGGCGTCGGCGTTGGCGCCGGCGTGGAGCAGGCGCCGGACGAAGGGCGCGTCGCCCAGGGCGGCGGCGATGTGCAGGGGCGTGCGCCCCGTGCTGCCCCCGCGCGCGTCCGTGGCCGCCCCGCGCGCCACCTGCGCAGGCGCGCGCCGCTCGCTGTCCTACCCTCTTTGGACTCGGTTATATTGTTAGTGAGTCCTGCTGAAGTTGTTAGTGCCGTGAGTAGTGTGTAGTGAGTAGTGTGTGTGTGTGTAGTGTATGTTTTTTCTTCGTGAGGTGGGGTTAGTGCCGTGAGTGTAGTGTATGTTTTTTCTCGTGGGGTGGGGTTAGTGCCGTGAGTGTAGTGTATGTTTTTTCCTCGTGAGGTGGTGTTAGTGCCGTGAGTGTAGTGTATGTTTTCCCCCCGTGAGGTGGGGTTAGTGCCGTGAGTGTAGTGTATGAATGTTCCTCGTGAGGTGGGGTTAGTGCTGTTAGTGTAGTGTATGTTTATTCTTCGTGAGGGGGGTTAGTGCCGTGAGTGTAGTGTGTGTTTTCCTCGTGAGGTGAGGTTAGTGCCGTGAGTGTAGTGTGTGTTTTTTCCTCGGGAGGTGGCGGTGAACGCCCTTCTGCTGAATGGCGAGATTCGGCGCCGACCTACCGTAGGTCAGCGGAGTTTTCCCTCTACCAGGTATCCCCCAGGGTTACCGCCCCAGCTGCGACAAGTTCCCGACCGGCCCCTCGGCATGCGTGGTAGTGTAGCGGATGTTAGTGTTAGTTTGTGTACGTAAGGGGTGAGGACAGGACAAGAAATAGGAAGGTGAGATCGCGCGCGGTCGGTGGCCCGTTCGTTTGGGTACTGCTCAGGCATTCCCTCGGTGTTGATCGGAGAAACCACGGAGAACTACCAATCAGGGAAGCCGACCGCTAGAATTCTCCTTCAGACAGCGACTGAATTCGACCTAGCTGCCAAGCTAGTGTCGAAATGCTTGTCAATGATGGGACCTGGACCATGAGAGGCACTGAATTGACGTCAGTGGATACCCTGGGCCACTTCTCCCAGCCCCTGCATTTTTTCTTTACTGAACAACAATTCTTTGTGAGGTGCTCAGTGTGTTCCCTCTCCTTAAGAAATGATTGTAAAGAAGTAATAGTTTAGTTGTTTTTAAATACATAGCAAGCTTCAAAAACATGTGATAAAATGTGTACTATCGAATACGAACAAAAACATGTGATAACATGTATCCTATTCAAAGCAATAAAAAAATAATAAAAGAACGACCAAGAAGCGCGTTTTACTTTCGTTGATCTCACCAAGACGTCGATGAGGTGCGCGTGGCCCTTGAAGGCCGCGGCGTGCAGCGCGGAGAGGCCGCCTCCGCCGTCGACGGGCGCGCCGTCGTCCAGCAGCGCCTCGACGGCGTCGCGCCGCCCGCACAGCGCCGCCGCCGCCAGCAGCGACGGCTTCCCGTCCATCACATCCACCAGCTCGGCCCACTCCGCCAGCGCGCGCACCACAGCGCCACCCTGCGCACCCATTCATTCAGTATTCAGAGATGACGAGACTTTACGGCCATCAGTCCTATATTTACAGTATATATTGTATACCGGGAGGTGAGGGTGTTCTTTCCCCACTGGAAGTCAGATCCGGCAGCGACCTTCACACCTGATTTCGTTTTTGAAATTGTTGCTTCTATAATCTCCAAAGCCTTTCAAGGATTGAGCGCAAGGCATTGAGCGCTTGTATTTGGAGTAGTCCTCCGTTAACATATTAATTATTGTATTCCAGTCTCGTCACAGTTAGTTGTCGAGAGGACCGCCAGGTAGCATCTCCGCGTACACGCCAAGAGGCGGCATGCGCTCCTGCCTCTCTGCCCAGCGACCAGAATGGGGAAGGAATTAGGGCAGTTGTAGGTGTTTAGGACGCTTCTCTGAGGTTGGCCTAGCCCCCCGGGATGTAGGCAAACTTGTTTTGTTGGAACAAATTTCACATGAAATTGTCCGAGAATCGAACTTGGACGTCCTCAGTGAGTGGCGAGCAACTTCGCTCTGCGCCACGAGATACTGGGGGAGATTTCTGGATTTCTTCCAAGATATCTCCCCCTGCGTGATATCCGAGACGGTGCGAGATCTAAGCTCCTGACTGGTCTCCCGACTTGTGTGGCAGTATAGTGCATTTAAATGTGAGTGTAAGGCAAGAGGAGAGGACATAGATGAAAAGAAAGGTCACTTGTGGTCTGTGGCTCATTTGATTAGGAATTACACGGGCATTTCTCTGGCGTTGATCGGAGAAATCACTGAAAGCTACCGTCAAGAGTAGCCGGCCGGTATAGGTATGTTCCAGACAATGGTTGAATTCGAACTAGGTAAGGAGCTAATGTCTCGGGGCTAGAATCCGAGGACCTCCCGGTAAATGTCATCTGTGTAACTACGTTAACTGATATTTCCCACCACATCCGCAAAAAACAACAATCTCTGATTCCTGTACGTACCTAGTCGTTTGCAACTTGGAACTTTAATGTTGAGACATTATGTATATCTCTCACTGCACTCACAAGTGAGACTCACAAAAGTGAGAATACACAACTTTAGGTACTAAAGAGAGAAAATATATATTTTGATGCTTTTCCCGTTGTTCTGGGGACTTTTCTACAGGAAGGCCGCTTATCGTCAGAAATCTAAGAATCTTTCTTTTAGCCATGAGGTAAGGCACTTTCGCAATGTAAGAATCTTTCTTCTAGTAATGATAAATACTATTTACTGTACACGTGACAAGCGTCAAACGAATCACAATATTCTCATCTAGTAGGGAATATGTTATTATTGGAAGAGTGTCTTCCCATTTGACCCCATTCCGTTTAACACAATTCATTTTTACTTTCTCGCTACCGCTTACGCAGTTGAGAAAGAGTTATGTTATGCTGCGTAAAAAACCAATCAACTTTCTGCAGAATTAATCGGACCTGGTAAAGAAAAAGTTGATAAATACAGTTGCTAAGTGTAGAAAAAAATTCTCCAATTCGTAGTGTAGCCAGAGTTCATGTTTTTGTAGGTCTTTGATAGCGAAAAATCGAATGACGTAAAAATGTCCGTCTGTTCGTCTATCCGTCCGTCCGGCTGACAAAAAACACTAGCGTTGTTAGTTCTGCAAAGCGTTATTCGTCAATCGTTCTGCCGATTTTCTCCAAAATTGATATTCCCCAATCGATCTCGGTGATGACGCGGCCTCTTAAATTTTAAACAGATATTTTAATTTTGGAGGGTAATTTACATTATGCCCCTGGGACATTTTCAAAATTAAAAAAAGTGGCTCCATTGTTTTTGATTAAATTTTGTTAGTGGATAGTGTGAAGGACGTTTAAAAGAATGGTACTCGAGTTTGTTAAAAACCCTTATGTTTTGAATATTGCAAAATTTAAAAAAAGTCTACCTTCAGCTACAATTATGAAGGTAGAGATTTTTCCCCTAACGAAGATTGATTCCTTGAAGGTCCTTGTAGATTTGAAGTTCTTTGAAGATGCATTTGAACCTTGAAGTTCCCTTGGAACTCTCTTGGAAAGTTTGAAGTTACTTGAAGGAACTTTGAAGGAACATTGAAGATAAAATTTGAAATTAGAACATGCACAATGTTTCGATAATTTGAGTACGTTTCTCGTAATTTTACCTGAAAATACGGTCGAGAAAGTACGTGTTGTTTTAGCACCACTAGTTAAACTGCAACATAGGACAATATGATTAATTGTCCTCATAATATTGCTTACGAAATATTTACCTTCTCTTGAAAATTCATGGGTTTTATAGTAATTAGTTTTATATTTTTTAATTATGTTTCAAAAAGTTGGGAGCCTCTGAAAATAGAAATGTAATGTAGTATTTATTACCAATGAAGATATTTTAGTTGCTAACATTTGAAGTTATGTATTATAAAATCTGATATTAGATCAAACGTTTCTTGTGTGTTGATGTGTGTGTGAGCGCAGGAGCGCATGTGCATATATTCTTAGTTAGGCGGCAGCACTTACCGCGGGGTTCTGAAGGAGGAGGTTCTTGGTTTGCTCCAAGCAGACTGCCTTGACTGCGTTTAGATTTTCTTGGCCTCCTGAGTCAACCATCATATTATGCACTATGGCAATTACAGCCAGTTCCAGCCCTTCATCTCCAGCTATCTGCGCGGAAAATTAAAATGTGTTAAAATATTTGTGCCTTCGTCAATCCAAGAATACAATAACAGTTAATTGTTATTTGTTAACTTTGTTTTGATAGCTACATCTCAATCAAAAATTAAGAAGCATGACCGTCAAGACATGAAATCGCTTCTACACCCGCATGAAAACATTAATGTTACTGAAATAGTTTTACAAACACCGATGTTTAAAACCATCGATGGTTTTGGGTCAATGCTTTTGAACATCAATTTTAATTGCGAACGTAGATATTCCAAAAAATCGAGGTTTATTGTCGATGTCACATCCCCATTTGAAGCGCCACTAAGCGTTCTGTGCATTGGCATGCGTCGGCCAGTGTCTACAACTGTCACTGTTCCTTTCTTTCCCACGCTTAGTGACTGAGAGAAATGTAGTATAATGTACTAGTTTAGTACGCGATCCAATAGTAAATACAATAATTTGTGTTTTAAGATTCACTAAACATGATTTATTTCGTTTAGTATATCATCCAATTGTGAATTGTAATTTAATAAACAAAGAGATTTGTCAGTAGCTCTATGCTTGTATCGTAGAAAAAAGTGATATCTACGTTTCATGTCATACTAAACACTGATCAGAAAGCGCACGATCTCAGAAATATTTCCAATTCGAATAGAACCCGTGTGAACTATGAGCAATCAACGCCGTATATAGTACAATAAAATCTGTTTAAACTGGAATCGATCAGGACAAAAAAATATTCCGGACAAAGGCATTTTTATGTTTTATGCAAGTGCATTTATGACATTAGTTATGTTTATATTTCCGTCTTGAAAATAGTAACTTGTCTTTATTTTCATTATAAAAATATATTCCTTTCCACGTTTCTGCTTAATAGGGTTTACTCAGTGGCGTTTTGTAATATATGACAATCAAGTATTCGTTTATTAAATATTATTCGATGGAGTAGTCAAAGAAAGGATTCGTTTAGTTATCTCCACTTAATTCTATTCATGGGTTTCAACTTGTTAGTGAACCTTACTAAGGCATACATGCATTATTGTGTTTAACAAAAAAGCAGATTCGTGAACGGGACTAAGCACTTTGTTCTTCCACAATATCCTGTACCTTTGCATGTACTACGTGAACATTTTTCTCTCCATGCGGTCAACGCCTCTGTGTGTGTGTGTGGAGTGGCTGCGCGGGCGCCACCTCAAGTGCGTCACCTGCAGCGGCAGCCGGCGGTCGCCGTCCGCGGGGCGCGGGGGCGCGTCGGGGCGCGCGCCGCGGCGCAGCAGGCGCAGGGCGA